TGGAAGAATATCGGGAAAGTAGGACCAATCTGAAACGAGGAATTAAGAGGGCTAAAAGAGGTCATGAAATATCTTTAGCAAACAGGGTTAAGGAAAATCCCAAAGCCTTTTATTCCTACATAAGGAGCAAGAGGGTAACCAGAGAAAGGGTTGGTCCACTCAAGGACAAAGGAGGGAAGTTATGAGAGCAGTCAGAGAAAATGAGTGAGATTCTTAATGAGTACTTTGCATTGGTATTCACCGAGGAGAGGGACATGATGGATGTTGAGGTTAGGGATAGATGTTTGATTACTCTAGGTCAAGTTGGCATAAGGAGGGGGCAAGTGTTGGGTACTCTAAAAGGCAATAGAGTGGACAAGTCCCCAGGTCCGGATGGGATCTATCCCAGGTTACTGAGGGAAGCGAGAGAGGAAATAGCTGGGGCCTTAACAGATATCTTTGCAGCATCCTTGAGCACGGGTGAGGTCCCAGAGGACTGGAGAATTGCTAATGTTGTCCCCTTGGTTAAGAAGGGTAGCAAGTATAATCCAGGTAATTATAGACCGGTGAGCCTGACGTCAGTGGTGGGGAAGCTGCTGGAGAAGATACTGAGGGATAGGATCTATTTACATTTGGAAGAAAATGGGCTTATTAGTGATAGGCAGCATGGTTTTGTGCAGGGAAGGTCATGTCTTACCAACTTGATAGAATTCTTTGAGGAAGTGACAAAGTTGATAGATGAGGGAAGGGCTGTAGATGTCATATACATGGACTTCAGTAAGGTGTTTGATAAGGTTCCCCATGGTAGGCTGATGGAGAAAGTGAAGTCGCATGGGGTCCAGGGTATACTAGCTAGATGGCTAGAGAACTGGCTGGGCAACAGGAGACAGAGAGTTGTAGTGGAAGGGAGTTTCTCAAAATGGAGAACTGTGACCAGTGGTGTTCCACAGGGATCCGTGTTGGGACCACTGTTGTTTGTGATATACATAAATGATCTGGAGGAAGGTATAAATGGTCTGATTAGCAAGTTTGAAGATGACACTAAGATTGGTGGAGTAGCAGATAGTGAAGGGGGCTGTCGGAGAATGCAGCAGAATATAGATAGGTTGGAGAGTTGGGCAGAGAAATGGCAGATGGAGTTCAATCCAGGCAAATGCGAGGTGATGCATTTTGGAAGATCCAATTCAACAGTGAACTATATGGTAAATGGAAAAGCCCTGGGGAAAATTGATGCACAGAGAGATCTGGGTGTTCAGGTCCTTTGTACCCTGAAGGTGGCAATGCAGGTGGATAGAGTGGTCAAGAAGGCATACGGCATGCTTTCATTCATCGAATGAGGTATTGAGTACAAGAGTTGCCATGTCATGTTACAGTTGTATAGGACTTTGGTTCGACCACATTTGGAATACTGCGTACAGTTCTGGTCGCCACATTACCAAACGAATGTGGATGCTTTGGAGAGGGTGTAGAAAAGGTTCACCAGGATGTTGCCTGGTATGGAGGGCACTAGCTATGAAGAGAGGTTGAGTAGATTAGGATTATTTACATTAGAAAGATGGAGGTTGAGGGGGGACCTGATTGAGGTCGACAAAATCATGAGAGGTGTAGACAGGGTGGATAGCAAAAAGCTTTTTCCCAGAGTGGGGGACTCAATTACTAGGGGTCACGATTTCAAGGTGAGAGAGGAAAAGTTTAAGGGAGATATGTGTGGAAAGTTCTTTATGCAGAGGGTGTGGGTGCCTGGAACACGTTGCCAGCGGAGGTGGGTGAGGCAGGCACGATAGCGTCATTTAAAATGTATCTAGACAGATACATGAATGGGCAGGGTGCAGAGGGATACAGATCCTTGGAAAATAGGCAACAGGTTTAGATAGAGGACCTGGATCGCGCAGAGGGCCGAAGGGCCTGTTCCTGTTCTGTAATTTGCTTTGTTCTTTGTTCTTTGATGGGCAATATGTATGACATCTATGACATTAATCACGAAGAGATTTTTAGAACGTAAAGGCAGCAAAGCAAAGGCTCATATCAACATGATAAAGCAATACCACCTGCCGAGAAGAAGACAGGCAGGTAATGGCCTGTAGGAGTAGGAGCAGGGATGAATTGAAGGGAGGCATGGGGGGAGGCTCACATTAAAACCCCTACTACTTTGTTAAACAATAGTGAAATAACTTAGTCTCCTTATTCATTCACTGAGACGGAAATCAGTGAGCAGACTTAATGAGGCTGTTTGTTGCCTTTAAAAGGCATACAGAGAGACAAGCGAACTGCACCACTCTAGCTCTGCATGATGTGGGTCCCTAACAGCTTGCATAACTGTGCAAGCAACTGAAGAAAGAAAGCAAACTCAAGAAAGCTGTTTGTGGTTCTTTCTTTGAAAATCAGTTTCAAAATGATTCTTTTCATCTGTACATCACAAGGAATTCCTAGTTTGTTATGACCTGACTCTGCAGGGTCCTGAATTTGTTACAGTTTCAGATGGGGACTGTCAAAGCAACTACTTAAAAATCAAAAATTTCTAAACAACATTTAGGTAAAAACACTCTCTGGCTGATGTGGGTGGCACAGTTGCTCAGTGGCTAGCACTGCTGCCTCACAGCACCAGGGACTGGGTTCAATTCCAGCCTTGGGCAACTGTCTGCATGGAGTTTGCACTTTCTCCCCATATCTGCATGGGTTTCCTCTGGGTGCTCCAGTTTCCTCCTACAGTCCAAAGATGTGCAGTTTAGGTGGATTGGTCATGCTAAATTGCCCATAGTGTCTAGAGGGAATATGCATGGATAGGGTAGGGGGTCGTTCTGGGTAGGATGCTCTATGGAGGGTTAGTGTGGACTGATGGGCCAAATGGCCTGCTTCAATGACTGGTCATCACTCCTTACACCTCTGAAATTTATATTTAACTAGATTGAATACTCAAAGTTTCAACCAAATGGTTTTAATGAAGGTACTCTCACCTCAATTCTTAAGCATAAATTTGTTATTATTTGTCACAAATCAATGCTAAGTTTCCTGCCTTATCTAAAGAAGCCTTAAATTAAACTGGTGTGAATGGAAGTGTCACACTAAGAATATTCAATACCCTTGAGTGATGCATTGAATTCTGAAAATCAAGACAGGGTAAGCATGCAGGTCAGGAAATAATATAAAAAAGAAACATCAACATTAATCTGTGTGTGAAATATAACACGGGGTTTGTATAGGGCAAGTGTATGGTCCCAGATCATCAGGAGTTAAGGATGCTCTTAATTCCCAGGTTTTATTTCAATGAGAATGATGGATTATCTCAAAGCAGGCACCTAAATTGAGACAAATTTTTCCAGCTTTAGATTTTGTTGAAGTTAGATAGACTGGATTGAAATCACAAACAAAATTAGAAATTGCTGTAAAAATTCAGCAGAACCAACAAAACCTTTAATGATTATATTCTGGATTTTAATTATTTTCATGGGATTGTGACCGATAGGCCATTATGATAGGCGCAAAAATTATTTTTGCTATGAAATATTTTTCCATGTAATCCTCCCTGTCCTGTGATTTCAGTAAGAGTTAAAATTCATCAGCATTTAAAAAGGCTTTCAGGTTTATCTCACAAACAACATGCCAATGAAAAGAATTTTACTTGAAGACCTCTGTTAGGAAACAGACATACACATTCAACAGCACAGATCTTGCCAATTACCAGATTTCTCCTCAATACAAAATATGCCATATTCTCCCCAAAACTTGTTCTTATAGCTATAAAATTAAGATAACCTATCTTCATGTGTTTCAAGTACTATTTTGTGCAGCCTTCACACCTTCATTTAAATTTTGTTCTGAAGGAGATCTTGATCAATTGGGTCAATGGACTGAGTAGTGGCGGATGGAGCTTAATTTGGATATGCGAGGTATTGCATTTTGGTAAAACAAATAAGGTCAGAACTAACATAATTAATTGTAGGGCCCTGGGTAAGTTGTAGAACAGAGAGACCTAGGGGTTCAGGTATATAATTTCATGACATTTGTGACAAATATGAACAGGGTAATTAAGGTGTTTAGCACACTTGCCTTCATTGCTCAGACCTTTGAGTATAAGAGTTGGGAAGTCATGTTGAGGTTGGACAAGACATTGGTGAGGCCTCTTCTAGAGTACTAGAAGTACTAGAGTTCTAGAGTGTTCAGAAAAGATTCACCAGGATGTTGACAGGAATGAAAGGCTTGAGTTGTATAGAAAGGATGGATACGCTGGGACTTTCACCGGAGATGAGGAGGTTGAAGCCCTTATGGAGGTTTATAAAACAATGAGGGGCATGAATAAGGTGAATAGCAATGGTCGTTTTCCCAGGTTGGGGGAATTCAAAACTAGGGGACATAGTTTTAAGGTGAGAGAAGAAAGATTTAAAAAAGAACATGAGGGGCAACTTGTACACAGAGTGGTTTGTATGTGGAATGAACTGCCAGAGGAAGTGGTGGATGCAGGTACAGTTATAACATTCAAAAGACATTTGGATATGTACATGAATAGGAAAGATTTGGAGTGATATGGGCCAAATGCAGGCAAGTGGGACTGATTTGGTTTGGGAACATGGTCAGCGAAGGGTCTGTTTCCACACTGTATGAGTCTTTAACTCTATGACAGGACCTGAAACATTAACTTTGCTTTCTTTCCAAAGATGCTGCCCAACCTGCTGAGTCTTTCCAGCAATTTCTGATTTTGTTTGTCATTTCCAGCATTCATAGTTCTTTATTATTTTGAAACAGTAACTCTGGTTTCTGCATTTAACCTTTGCTCAGCAATGAATCAATCAGACAAGGAAATTCAGCATTGGTTTACCAATTTTTTGGATGACAAATTAATTTTGGGGCAGATTCTCTCCAGAATTGTGTCTGGTTCTAAAATTGGAAAATGGCAAAAATAGGTTTACTGACACCCACCTGAAATAGGTGTTTTGTTCTTTGCATATATGAACCCGGGTCCTAACAGCATTTGTAAGATACTAACTGAAAGTTGTCTACTACATATTTAAATTAGAGTCACTTACCTTTCCTCTTCATCAAATCTGAAGGTTCACCCTGGAGCAAAAGAAAAGAAACAGTTTGTCATGTGTCAATTATTTAGATATACTGTAACCTTATTCATGTCAACTTATTATTGTCAAACTCTGCAGCTCTATGTAGCAACAAGCATTTAAGAGTCTAAGGTGGGTCTGTGACTTTGCGCCATTAGCTGTCTCCCCAACATACAAATTAAGATGTCCTTCTAGAAATACTTTAGAAGTTATTTTACGTCAGTATCTTTAAAGTGGTATGGATTGGGTGCTGAATTATGCTAAGGGAATAAACGTTGTACAACATTATAAATTTGAAATATCAAAATGTTCAAACCAAACTGTATTTGGTCGTTTTAATTCAATCTTCATTAACCCGCTTCAACAGTAGCTTCAGCTGTTTGGTTATATTATCATCTCTGACTATTTAAACGATTATTTTGTTCAAAAAACTATCTGCACAAAAATTCCTGTAACTCTTGAGCTTTCTCATAGGTTTGAAAGATTCATTAACTAATCTAATCAGAAATTGAAGTAGATGGACTAGCCAGTCATGTTACAATCTGGTGAAAGATTATTGAGTTGAACCATTAACTATTTATCTCCCACTAGATACTGTCTGACCTGCTGACTCTTTCCAGCGTACACCGTTTTCATTCTATGGTCCTTTGTTATTTGCCAGTCAACCACAATAGAAATAAAGGCAAGACGAGGTAACTTGTCATTGTATAATATCTTTCACAGCCTCAAAACATCACGAAAAAAGACTCAGAGCTAATGATGTATTTTTGAAGTGTAGTTTCTGATACATGTAGGGAAATGTGATAGCCAGTGTGTGTATTGTTGAAGCTAATAACATAAAAAAACCAGTGAATCTGTTTTTCAGAGTGCTGGTGGAGAAATAAATGTTGGCCAGGACTCCAGAATTACTCTATACCCTTACTTCAATAGTTCCACAGGATATTGTATGTCCTGCTAAGCAAAGAAATGGTTCTGGTCAAAGTCACAAAAGACATACAACATGACTATGACTTCATTAAACTATTGTCCCTCAATCTTCTTAACCTGTCTGCAGCCTTTAATGCAATTAATCAACTTATCTCTTTCCAATGCTATTCTGTTCTCTTTCTATTGGGATTGACTGTCCTCATTCGTTTCTTTTCTTTTTCCTAAACCAGTTGTAACTACAGAATTACGTGCAATGTTTCTCTTACCACTCCAGCAGTGTTACTTCTAGAATTGCTCAAGGATATCTCTGTGGTATAATGAGTCATGTAAATCATAACAATGTCATCGGTCACATGACTCAATAAGAGAGAAATTAAAAGTCTAGAAAGAGCATGTGAAGAGAGAGGTCTTAGATATTACAATAGAGATGTGTAGTTGAGAACCTACTGTGTATAGATGTAAATAAAAGCCATATTACACAACATAGGCTTCTGAAGAAGGGTCTAGACCCGAAACGCCAGCTTTCCTGCTCCTCTGTTGCCGCTTGGCCTGCTGTGTTCATCCAGCTCTACACCTTGTTATCTCAGATTCTCCAGCATCGGCAGTCCCCACTATCGTTGAAGAACCTTACTTCGACATAATGTGCAAACAGCCTGAGGTAGTGCTCTCACTAATTTTTTTTTCTGTGCAGACCTCTGAGGTCTGTGCTCAGCAGCAACTTTCGTATTTCTGTATAATAACTTACGTATTAAACAGTACCATCTGAAAACATGTCAGGATCTACACGCATGCTGAGAACATCTAGCTCTACTATAGCACTGCCTGTTTTGTCCCCTCCACTGTGATTTGTCAAACTGCCAGACTGACATCCAATGCTGGATAAGCAGGAATATCTTCCACTACAATCCTACTAAGATCAAAGCCAATCATTTGGATTCCTACCACAAATTATGTTCTCTAGTTATTGACTTTGATTCCTATCCCTCAGTGTCTGTCACTGACCTAGACTGCTCACATGTTACTGCATTTAAGACACGACAAAAGCAGTAGCAGTGGTTGCTCTCCATGTGAAAATGTAAATGATGTCTCAGTTTGTTGTTTCGTCTGAAAGATGGCACCTCAAACTGCATCATGCTCTGCATTGGAATGGCAGCTAAAATTGTGTATCTGGAAAAATAATTTGAACCCACAGCCTACATGCTGCTACTTAAATAATATTGACACCTGAAATGGCAGTTGATCAATAATCTCAGCAAAGTATCAGTTTAATTATTGCTCCTATCTACCACTCGAGTCGACCAGATTCATCTTCTACAGTCACAAAAATCTGGTTGTGTGGCTGAAAAGATCTTGTGCCTCCCAACATTAGCAATTCAAGTTATCAAAGATTGATGTGTTAAAAAAAGTCATAACATATTCAAAGCAAAAGCAATATTTGTGTTACTGTAGCCTAGAACTAGAATTATGACATTGATACCGACTTTGCATTTAGTGCAATCAATAGTTCAAAAGGTACTGTCCATATTTCTTGTTGATGGAAATCTAATAATAATTGCTCTTGAATGTAACAAAAGTAACCTTTCTTTCTATTCATTTTTGTGGGATGTGGGCGTCTCTGGCTGGCCAGCATTTCTTGCCCATCCCTAGTTGCCATTGAGAAGGTGGTGGTGAGCTGCCTTCTTGAACCTTTGCAGTCCTCCTGCTGTGGGTTGACCCACAATGCTATTAGGGAGGGAATTCCAGGATTTTGACCCAGTGACAGTGAAGGAACGGCGATATATTTCCAAGTCAGGATGATGAGTGACTTGGAAAGGAACTTGGAGGTGGTGTTTCCATATATCTGCTGCCCCTTGTCCTTCTAGATGGAAGAGGTCGTGGGTTTGGAAGGTGCTGTCTAAGGATCTTTGGTGAATTTCTGCAGTGCATCTTATAGATAGTACACACTGCTGCTACTGAGCGTTGATGGTGGAGGGAGTGGATGCTTGTGGATGTAGTGCCAATCAAGCGGGCTGCTTTGTCCTGGATGGTGTCAAGCTTTTTGAGTGTTGTTGGGGCTGCACTCATCCAGGCAAGTGGGGACTACTCCATCACAGTCCTGACTTGTGCCTTGTAGATGGTGGACAAGCTTTGAGGAATCAGGAGATGAGTTACCTGCCACAGTATTCCCAGCTTCTGGCCTGCTCTTGTAGCCACTCTGTTAATGTGGTGAGTCCAGTTGAGTTTCTGGTCAATGGTAACCTCCAGGATGTTGATAGTGGGGGATTCAGTGATGGTAACACCATTGAATGTCAAGGGGCGGTGGTTAGATTGTCTCTTTTGGTCATAGCCTGGCATTTGTGTGGCGCAAATGTCACTTGCCACTTGTCAGCCCAAGCCTGGATATTGTCCAGGTCTTGTTGCATGTGAACATGAACTGTTTCAGTATCTGAGGAGTCATGAATGGTGCTGAACATTGTGCAAACATCAGCGAACATCCCCAACTCTGACCTTATGATGGAGGGAAGGTCAATAATGAAGCAGCTGAAGATGATTGGGCTTAGGACACTACCGTAAGGAACTCCTGCAGAGATGCCCTGGAGCTAAGATGATTGACCTCCCACAACCACGAGCATCTTCCTATGTGTCAGGTATGACTCCAACCACCAGAGTGTTTGCCCCCTGATACCCATTGATTCCAGTTTTGCTAGGGCTACTTGATGCCACACTCGGTTGAATGCAACCTTGGTATCAAGGGCTGTCACTCTAACCTCACCTCTGGAATTCAGCTCTTTTGTCCATGTTTGAACCAAGGCCGTAATGAGGTCAGGAGCTGAGTGGCCCTGGTGGAACCCAAACTGGGCATCGCTGAGCAGGTTATTTCTGAGCAGGTGCTGCTTGATAACACTGTTGATGACACCTTCCATCACTTTACTGATGATCGAGAGGAGACTGATGGAGCGGTAATTGGCCGGGTTGGATTTGTCCTGCTTTTTATGTACAGGACATATTTGGGCAATTTTCCACATTGTTGGGTAGATACCAGTGTTGTAACTGTACTGGAACAGCTTGGCTAGGGAAGCAGCAAGTTCTGGAGCACAAGTTTTCAGTACTATTGCCAGAATATTGTCAGGGCCGGTAGCCTTTGCAGTGTTCAGTGTCTTTAACCATTTCTTGATATCATGTGGAGTGAATCGAATTGGCTGAAGACTGGTATCTGTAATGCTGGAGACCACTAGAGGAGGCCAAGATGGATCATCCACTCGGCACTTCTGGCTGAAGATTGCTGAATTGCCTCAGCCTTATCTTTTGCACTGATGTGCTGGGCTCTTCCATCATTGAGGATGGGGATATTTGTGGAGCCTCCTCCTCCGGTGAGTTGTTTAGTTGTCCACCACCATTCATGACTGGATGTAGCAGGACTGCGGAGCTTAGATCTGATCCGTCGGTTGTGGGATTGCGTAGCTCTATCTATCACTTGCTGCTTTCGCTGTTTGGTGTGCAAGTAATCCTGTTTGGTGGCTTCACCCGGTTGATACCTCACCTTCAGGTATGCCTGGTGCTGCTCCTGGCATGCCCTCCTGCACTCTCCATTGAACCAGGGTTGATCCCCTGGCTTGATGGTAATGGTTGAGTGGGGGATATGCTGGGCCATGAGGTTACAGATTGTACTGGAGTACAATTCTGATGCTGTTGATGGCCCACAGTGCCTCATGGATGCCCAGTCTTGAGTTGCTAGAGCTGTGCGAAGTCTGTCCCATTTAGCACAGTGATAGTGCCACACAACACAATGGAGGTTGTTCTCAATGTGAAGGCGGGACTTCGTCTCCACCAGGACTGTGCGATGATCACTCTTATCGATACTGTCATGGACAGATGCAACTGTAGCTGGCAGATTGGTAAGGATGAGGCCAAGTATGTTTTTCCCTCTTGGTGGTTCCCTCATCACCTGTCGCAGACCCAGCCTAGCAGCTATGTCCTTTAGGACCCGACCAGCTCAATCTGTAGTACTGCTGCCGAGCCACTCTTGGTGGTGGACATTGAAATCCCCCACCCAGAGTACATTTTATGCCCTTGCCATCCTTAGTGCTTCCTCTGAGT